AGAGGTTTCTGTAAGATTATTGGGCAGTTTCTCTGCCTACAAGATATTATCACAGATGATTGGTTTACTTTTTCAGTTCTCAAAACTGAATTTGACTCAGCGGAGATCACATGCCTCTTCTTCACAGCAAAAATGTTATAACATGAACAGAGTTAAGAAAAAGACCTTCATCCTAACTTCTACAAACCTATGAATACAGAATCAACCCCTTCAGTGCCAAGTTTCAAGAAGTTCAGTGAATAGAATAGAAACAATATTTTTCTGATTGTTTGGAGCGGAATAGATCTGCACAAGAAGAAAGTGAAACGAAGTGTGAGGAGGAAGGGGCTGACAGTGCGAGGAGGAAGGGGCTGACAGTGCGAGGAGGGAGGGGCTGACAGTGCGAGGAGGGAGGGGCTGACAGTGCGAGGAGGGAGGGGCTGACAGTGCGAGGAGGGAGGGGCTGACAGTGCGAGGAGGGAGGGGCTGACAGTGCGAGGAGGGAGGGGCTGACAGTGTGAGGAGGGAGGGGCCGACAGTCTAAGTTTCTTCAAATATATATATTTTGTTTAGCCAAATTAGTTACCAAACATGGATGTTTAAGCAAATCACAGATGCTGGAATGTTATTGTTTCAGTTGAATAAATCTATTTAAATTGTTATTATTAAGGTAATGATTATTTTTCTCCTTCCTAAGTACAACAGAAAAGTTGTCCAAATATGAATGATTAACCTATTAAACTGGGGATAAAAAAACTAATATGAAAAGTTGTTATTCTAAAAATCTTCATCTACTTGTATATTAAAGTTATACCAGCAAGAATTAGTCTTTATGTAGAAAACTAGGATTTACATCCAGCCTTACTGACTAGTGATTTAAATCGTGATTTAAATCAGTTTGCTTTAAATCAAATCCACCCTGATTACGGCTAAACTGTTTTTAAAAAGTGACAGCTTGCATGGGGAACGTCTCTCTGTACTGCTGCCACAGGGAGGTGGGGGGGGGGGGGGGGTAATCGTGCAGCGGCTGCAGCATTGGGAACATGTTACAAGTTCCACCCTAAAAACGGATGGAACATGTTCCCAAAGGTGAACTTATCCTTTCGGTGGGTTTAATATTAATTTTACACATCTGGCTTTAGAAACAAAGTCATGTCACAAAGAGTCCTTTCAAATGTCTGTTCAGTTCAGATCTGCCTCAAATTTTTCAGGTGGATCTGAACAAAAAGTTCCTGCATGTCTAGATAAATCTAGAACAGAAGCCAGCTGTATACAAGAAATAGATGACTGGTGATCCTGCAGACCCATAGCCCGTGTACTCTTACCTGGATTGTGGATGTTCCATATGTCCTGGTAATTCTATTCATTAATGTGCCTCCGATATTTTCTCAAATCTAATGAAGACAGTGAAAACAATCTTTTAGGATAGGTTTCTGACTGCTACTTCAGCATGCTGGGTCAATGTATTGAGACTACAAACTGTACATGTATTTCATAAAGCTAAAATGCTCATCTCTGTTTGCCAACAATAACTGAAAATCACTTCAACCACATTAGGTTTTCGTGCACCGCTGGGGTTTCATCTGCTGGACCCTCTCTCACTACAGGACACAGTAATGACTATGGCGCTTCCACTGATTGGCCAAGGTGCACAGGTGATCTCCACATCAGCCAATGAGGAAAAAAAACTTGGTAATCATTGATAAAAATAAAAGAGTTCTCCTGAATGACGGAGATGCACTAAGATCGACTCCATTTACAGTCATCAGTAGGCGCTGGAACTGCTGCTGGAACAGTCGCTTAGTGTTGCTAAAGCAACTACAATCTATTACAGCCGTTCTGACGGCGACCTCTCCTGCGCTCCGGGACCCAGGCCGGTGGTGAGTAGATGAAACCAAAACTCCAAAAAAGCAACCACCGGAGTATACAAGGTCGTGCAGCTCCAAACCAAGGCTGGGGAAGCCCGAACAGAACGCAGAGCTCTGAGGAAGAAGGCATGACCTTCGAAACGCGCCAGATGTTCTGAGTGGCTACCCCCATGATGGGATTCGCGCTGGCCTCTTGCCTTTGAAGTCCCTTGGAGGACTTACATGCCTGTTTTTATTCACTGTTTGTGAGTACCATTCTTTTACTAAATAAATTTTGGTTACTGAGGTAATGCACAAGGTTGGTGCGCTTCTTGTTGTTCCACTTCACAGTATTCTATTACAACTGCTGCTGGAACAGTCGCTTAGTGTTGCTAAAGCAACTAAAGTCTATTACAGCAGTTCTGACGGCCAGAGCATTCTGGCATGGAAGTATTCTATTACAAAGCAGTGTGCAGGAGCTGACAGGGGAGAGATCTGTACTGATGATATACAGACCTCTCTCCCCCCCGTCAGCGATACTCAGCAATCGGTGGGTGCCGGTGAGGAATAGCCGGCTGGGACCCGGTGATCGACAGCTGAGGCCGCCAATGGCGGCGCATGCTCTCCCTACTCGTAAATGCAAAATCATGCACACACATGTGATTTTGCGCAGCCCTCCCTCGCTATAGCAGTATTTCTGCTTTAGGACGGCGGGCAAGCGGTTTATAGTTTTATATATATAAAAAAAAAAAAAAAAAAAACTACACACAATTGCTACACGAGCTATATTTTAATTTGATCAGAAATTATCCATCCTTTTCAATTTGTGGCACTGTACTCTATAAAATGTGATGCAATATGCCAACCTGGAGGTATATTGTCATTTCCTGCTTGTGTGATTGGCTCACCGATTTTCCCAGAAGTTTTCATCTCCTAGATCAGTGGTGGCGAACCCGTGGCACGCGTGCCACAGCCGGCACGCCGAGCCTTATCTGTGGGCACGCCAGGAGAATCCAGCGGCGCGCTGTCTTCCCGGCTGTAGTGTGCGTGACAGCCGGGTCCCAAGTGCGCATGCACAAGAAGCAGTGCTCCTTGTGAATGGTAAGGCGGTACCTGGGACACATGACAGATCCCAGAAGCCGCCGGACCAATCACAAAGCGCAGCGCTTCTCGCGCATGCGCACTGGGCATCCGGCTGTCCGACGAGCGCCCACACTACAGAAGCCGGGAAGACAGCGAGCGGCTGGATCGAGGAACAGGTAAGATAAAAAAAAAAAAAACTCTGCGGAAGTAAGAGCGGGTACCTGTCAAATTCAGGTACCCGCTCCCCCTCCCTCCCCAAAGGTCAGCAGTCATCCCTGTGCTGTGTCCCCAGTCTCTGGTCATCCCTGTGCTGTGTCCCCAGTCTCTGGTCATCCCTGTGCTGTGTCCCCAGTCTCTGGTCATCCCTGTGCTGTGTCCCCAGTCTCTGGTCATCTCCTGTGCTGTGTCCCCAGTCTCTGGTCATCTCCTGTGCTGTGTCCCCAGTCTCTGGTCATCTCCTGTGCTGTGTCCCCAGTCTCTGGTCATCTCCTGTGCTGTGTCCGCAGTCTCTGGTCATCCCTGTGCTGTGTCCGCAGTCTCTGGTCATCCCTGTACTGTGTCCGCAGTCTCTGGTCATCTCCTGTACTGTGTCCGCAGTCTCTGGTCATCTCCTGTACTGTGTCCGCAGTCTCTGGTCATCCCTGTACTGTGTCCGCAGTCTCTGGTCATCTCCTGTACTGTGTCCGCAGTCTCTGGTCATCCCTGTACTGTGTCCGCAGTCTCTGGTCATCCCTGTACTGTGTCCGCAGTCTCTGGTCATCCCTGTACTGTGTCCGCAGTCTCTGGTCATCCCTGTACTGTGTCCGCAGTCTCTGGTCATCCCTGTACTGTGTCCGCAGTCTCTGGTCATCCCTGTACTGTGTCCGCAGTCTCTGGTCATCCCTGTACTGTGTCCGCAGTCTCTGGTCATCCCTGTACTGTGTCCGCAGTCTCTGGTCATCCCTGTACTGTGTCCGCAGTCTCTGGTCATCCCTGTACTGTTAATTAGTTTGCACTACTGTACGAGTTGTTTTTTCTAAACCAAAAGCTCGATATTCAGGTTTCATTGCAGTGTTGGCACTTTGAAAGAAATAAGTTGGTTTTGGGTTGCAGTTTGGGCACTCGGGCTCAAAAAGATTCGCCATCACTGTCCTAGATTGTAAACTCGAAAGAACAGGGCCCTCAATCCCCTCATGTTTTGCATTGTATTGGTATTGTTCTGTCACATGTTCTGTCCCCCTTTGTAATGTACAGCGCTGAGCGAACTATTGGCGCTTTATAAATACTGTATAATAATAATAATTAAGAAACAAGTCAGATTTAGACATCCTCTGCTATAAAAATGTCATTTTTGGTGAGATACTCTCCAAGGGTGAATCACTTTGTTTTTCTTTATTAGAACACTGCAATTGCATCAGCTAATCAAAAATGAAAAAGTCCCCCATTTAGATTCGCTGTGCATCCACATAACAAAACAGCTTTTCCTTCAAAGTAGAATAGAAGCAGGTAGGAATCTGCAACGTTTGTTAAAATCTTTTCAATGTACAACAAAAGGTGGAGTTTTACTCTTTATCTAGAGAATCACCATTTTTTGGAAGCTTTTACTAAACAAAAAGCAACTTTATGTCCTCAAAGCACCATTCAGCTGCACTTTTAGGCCTCATTCACAGCGGCATGTCTGAGTTTAGCTTTTCTTAAGGCAAGAAAAGTATTCTGGAACGTATGAACAACTTCTACGCTTCCAAGATCACCTTTTCCTGCATTTAGGCTACATGCTCACTCGGTGTGTAGCCCCTGCTAATCAGTTCCTGTTGTCATGTGCCTGGGAGGCAGAGGCGCAGCACGCAGCCTGTTAAAATATGACAGGCTGAAATACAATGCGGCTGGATACTGTACCGGGTGGTACTCATGTTTAACTACTTGCCGAGCGCAGATAGCCGAATGACGGCTACACTGCGGCCGGCCAGTTCTGGGTGGGCGTCATATGACGTCCTCCAAGAACGTGCTCTTACCCGGCGATCTCCGTGATCACGTGATGTGGTAAATGGCCAATCACAGTGGCCTTTTACCACGTGATCAGCCGTGTCCAATGACACGCTGATCACCGGGAAATGCAATTGCAGGTTCTCGGCTGCACTTTCCTCACGCTGTCAGTGTGAGGAAAGTACTGCTGAGAACCGGCAGTTGTCAGAGCGGGGATTGGCACTGATGATCAGTGCCCTGATGATCGGTGCCCAGCAGTACCACCCACCAGTCCCGCCCACCTGTGCCCAGCAGTGCACCCACCTGTGCCACCCAGCAGTGCGACTCACCTGTGCCCAGCAGTCCCACCCACCAGTGCCACCCACCTGTGCCCACCAGTGCTGCCAGTCAGTGCCACCAGTCAGTGCCCAGCGGTTGTGCCAGTTAGTGCCACCTATCCGTGCCACCTCATTAGTGCTGCCCATCAGTGCCCATCAGTGCAGCCTCATCAACGCACATCAGTGAAGGAGAAAAATTACCTGTTTGAAAAATTTTAATAGAAAAAGAAACTTTTTTTTCAAATTTTTTGCACTTTTTTTGTTTATAGCACAAAAAGTGAAGTGTCCAGCGGCGATTAAATACCACCAAAAGAAAGCTCTATTTGTAAGAAAAAAATGATAAACATTTCATATGGGTACAATGTTGCATGACTGCGCAATTGTCAATCAAAGTGCGACAGCGCTGAAAGCTGAAAATTGGCCTGGTAAAGAAGGGGGTATAAGGAACACAGCGCCTTAGCACAAACAATGGCCTGGTCATTAACCATTAGCCGCCAGGCCAATGGCCCTTTGGCGGCTTCAGATGTGTCTCTCCATTCCGGGTGCACGCCATTTGGCGTGCTCCCACACATGCGCCGTTTGCGCTAATGCAGAGCGGCGCAGCAGTGCGATCTGTCACCGGCCGTGCACCTCGGACACGGCCGATGACAGATCCGAGTACCGGCTCACGTTGCTGGTACCATGTGACCTGCTGTGACCAATCACAGCAGGTCACATGACAGTTGTATACAATGGATGGCTTCATTCATGATGCCATCCATTGTATACTAGTGCCTAGCTGTGAATGGTCACAGCTAATCACATGCACATGTCATGTGATTAGCTGTGACCAAATCACAGCCAAGCACAAAAAAAAAAAAAAAAAAAAAAAAAAAAGCTGAATGAATCGATGTCATTCAGGTAAATGCTTGCTTATAGCAAAGTAATTCTTTGCTATAAGCAAATTGTGTAAAAAAAAAAAAAAAATACTGATCACTTCCCCAAAGTAGTACAATGTTACTATGGTAACATTGTACTACTTTGGTCATAGTAAAATATGAAAAAAAAATCTTAAAAATAAAAAAAAAATGTAATAAAAAATTAAATATAATAAAAAAAATATATATATATTTTTTTTTTCATACTGTCACCAGTCAGTGTCCCTGTTCACTGCCATGCCAGTTATATGATGACGCTGTACTGCACTGGTGACAGTATGTAAAAAAAAAAAAAATAGTGAAAATAATTTTTTTAATTTTTTCATTTTCCGAAAACTTATGACAAAAAAATACAACTTCAAAAAACTCGCCATTCCTCTTATGAAGTACGTCGGACTGTCTACTCTGCACAAAGGGGTCATTTGGGGGATATCTGTACTGTCCTGACATTTGGGGGATATCTGTACCGTCCTGACATTTGGGGGATATCTGTCCTGTCCTGACATTGGGGGATATCTGTACTATTCTGTCATTTGGGGGATATCTGTACTGTCCTGACATTTGGGGGATATCTCTCCTGTCCTGACATTTGGGGGATATCTGTACTGTTCTGACATTTGGGGGATATCTGTACTGTTCTGACATTTGGGGGATATCTGTACTGTCCTGACATTTGGGGATATCTGTACTGTCCTGACATTTGGGGGATATCTGTACTGTTCCTGACATTTGGGGGATATCTGTACTGTTCTGACATTTGGGGGATATCTGTACTGTCCTGACATTTGGGGGATATCTGTACTGTCCTGACATTCTTGGATCTCAAGAAATTAGATTGGCTGTCAGTACTTCAGGATTGATCAATATTCAGATCTATACCATAGTTTGTGAACTCTATAACTTTCCTACAAACTAAATAATACATCCGAATTTGGGTTATTTTCACCAAAGACATGTAGCAGAATACATCTCGGCCTAAATTTATAAAGAACAATTATTTATTTGTAAACTTTTATAACAGAAACAAAGAAAAATGTGTTTTTTTTCAAAATTTTTGGTCTTTTTTTGTTAATTTAGCAAAAAATAAAAACCCCAGCGGTGATTAAATACCACCAAAAGAAAGCTCTAGTTGTGTGAAGAAAATGATAACATTTTAGTTTGGGTACAATGTTGTATGACCGCGCAATTGTCAAAGTGTGAGAGTGCTGAAACCTGAAAACTGGCCTGGGCAGGAAGGGGTGTAAAATTGCCCGGCATTGAAATGGTTAAGGGGGGGTCAATCCTCTGGAGGGCAAGTGGTAAATCAGCCACAGAAGCTGTGTGAATAACGTGCTCGGTGTTATACCCGCATGGCCTACTTACCTGGTGTGTCAGCACGAAAAGATCACTAGTAGACCGGTGTTACACCTGCACAGGATCAGACTTCACAGAAAATATATCGCAGACTTACATATCTCCATTACACAACAAAGCTAGGCGGACGTTCAATGCATTTCCATCCTCACACCTACCGCTGAATCCCAGCAGCCTTCCCCTCAGATACAACCTGACTATTCCCGCGAAGTATTCATGTACCGGGCAACGTCATCATCGCGCCACTCTCTCTTCCTGTACTGGAGACACAAAATCCCGCTCTAGCGGCTGAACTCTGGGCTGCTCACAAAGTCTTTTGATCACGTGATAAGCCTCTCTCATTGGATTAACACGATGTAGAGAGGATGAGTTAGCGGCCATTTTTGTGTAGTCCAGAGGTCTCTGGTGTTTGTGTCTCTATGGATTGAATCAGCAAAGTATAGAATTTTCCTTAGATTACCTGGGTCTCTGACCTAGAACTAGCTCATTGATGGGCGTCCATTGGGTGGGTTCCATGGTCATTATTCATTACATTACATGGTGTCACGGATAAAACTCATGCACACAGCGACTAGCTAACCAAAGTGTGCACGTCTGTGACTTGGGGTAGAGAGGGATTGAGGGGGGTACCTTCACTCTGTTCCACCGTAAAAACGCAGGCGTTTTTTCTGTGCTTTCTAAACGTTTTTAACCACTTCCAGTCCGGACACTTTTACCCCTGTCCTGCCCAGGGCAATTTTCAGCGCTATCACACTTTGAATGACAACTGCGCGGTCATGCAACACTGTACCCATATGAATTTTTTAGCATTTTTTTTGAGACAGATAAAGCTTTATTTTGGTGGTATTTATTCACCGCTGGGATTTTTATTTTTTTGCTATGTAAATGAAAAGTCCAAAAATTTTGAAAAAAAGTGTTTTTCTTATAAAATTTTGCAAATAAATAATCTTTCATCATAAATCTTGGCCAAAATGTGTTCCGTTATCTTTTTAGTAAAAAAAAAAAAAAAAAAGCCAAATTAGTTTATAACCAAAAATTATAATTTAAAAAAAAAAAAATTTTACATTTTTATTTTATTTTTTTTATATTATTATTTATGTTTTTGTTTTTTGTTTTTTACACATACTGTCACCTAGCAGTACAGTGTCACCATGCTGTCACTTTATTTTTTTGGGTTAATTTTATTGCTATCACAAGGGGGCTAAGCCCTATGTGATAACATAAGCAGGTGACAGGTCCTCTTTATGGAGACATCAGCGGTCTAACCCTCCAATGTCTCCCTTGCCCTCCAAAGCAGCTAAACAAGCATGGGTTATGCTTGATCAGCTGCTTCCTGTAACAGCCAGGGAATGAAAGCTCTGAAGCCGACAAAATAATTTGGCTTAATTCCCCACAGAGGAGATCAGGAAATGGATGTCCCTCCATCTCATCTGTGTTCACCAATCCCAGCCATTTACCAAAGTCCTGGGCTCCCTGAAGGGACAGGAGAGCCTGGGAATGACAGCAGCTGGTAGAGGGAGGACAGCAGCCTTTCTCAGCACTGGAAAAGTGATCTGGTGGCTATAGAGCCAGCTGGATCACTTTTACTAAACAACCGATCGCTAGCTGTAAACAATTACATCAAGATCCTAGTTGCAGCTGCAGTCATGATCTTGGTGAAAGAATGTGCTGACAGGCCCTGTATATACATACGGTGGTCAGCAAATGATTAAAGTGATATTAAACCATCAGTTTTTAAGTACTTTCAGCAGCTGATTTAATCACTTATTGAGTATGCAGCTTCTTCATCTTCAATCATTGCCCATGTTCCAGCTTAAAGAGGAGCTTCAGCCAGGTTTCCAAAAATTAAAAGTTAGCAGCTAAAAAACCTGTGGCTGCTGACTTTTAATAAGCACACACTCACCTTTTGAGGGATCTGGCTTTGTCCTCATCAGAGCCGGTTCTTTACTGTGCTTTGGGTTCCTGGCTCTGGCATATTAACTGTAGGAATTCGACTGTGGTTCCTGGTGGCTTTACAGCTGGCTTCGTAGTGGCTCATGCATGACCCAGGCTGCTCCTTGTGAATGGACCCACAGCCTCCTGGAATCTATGGTGTTTCCCCAAAGGTTGCAGGCAGGTAGAGGGGAAGGGTGAACTTCTGCTCAGATTTCCTAGGCCAGGCATCACTAAATGGCGGACCACAGTACAAATACGGAGCTGGTGACAGTCCTGTCCGGACCACGGCCACACCATTGAGTGGACTCCTCTTCTCCCGCTGCTGCAGCTGTTAGAAATCGGGAGGAATGGTAGGGTGGACTCCTGTTGTGTATGTACTTGTCTGCCACCACCGTAGTCACCACTGCTGTTGAAGTCACAGCAGGGAAGACGGCGGAAGGAATGGAAGGACTCCTCTTCTGAATGTACTGGCTTACTGCCGTCGCCACTGAACTCGGGGCAGGGAGGAGGGCAGGAGGCACTGTAGGTCTACAGGGGGAGCGGTGGAGGGGAGCCAACCTTTCATACTAACAAACAGGTCACTTGTCTTTCTTTATCAGGAGTTGGGCAGCTCACGCTGTCAGTGGAGATATTCTGTGCCTCCTGCCCTCCTCCCTGCTCTGAGTTCAGCCATGGCGGCGGCAAGCTGGTACAATCAGAAGAGGAGACCTTCCTTCCATTCCTCCCACCCTCTTCCCTGCTGTTACTTCATCACCATTGGTGGCGGCAGGCAAGTACATGCAGAACAGGAGTCCACCCTGCCATTCCTCCTGCCCTCCACAATGCTGAGTTAAGGTAGGGGGAAGATTATGGGGGAGAGGGGGTTGTGATGTCAGAGGGGGGAGCTGTGATATTATTATTATTACAGAGTATTTATATAGTGCCAACAGTTTGCTCAGCGCTGTACATTACAATGGGAGACAATACA